TTAATTTTTATTTTTTAATACAAATTTATTATAAAAAATGTATTTATTGTATTCTTAATTTATACCTTTAAAACATAAATTTGACAAATTTATAAATAAAAAAATTAATTATTTAAATGACATATAAAATTGTATAAAAAAACAATATAAAAAATTTATTTCTAAATAATTTTCTTTTTTTTTTTCATCAAAGTGGACAAATCAAATGTCAAGTCCCTTGCCACATAGGAGTGAGATGCGCCACACGAGGCAGTCCTCCAAACAGCAGTTAACGACAATTAGCAGCAGTTAAGTTGGCTGTGAGAGTAAAGGCTAAATTGCTTCTATTGTAGAGTTCAGGGGCTTAAATGCTTCAATTAGAATCTGGTGGCTTAATAGCGATTCTGGGTCGGTTCAAGGGCTTAACTTATGGTTTTGCCTTTCTCATTCTCTTTCCTCTTCTCTTAATTTCCCTAGTAAAAACTATATATATTACAAAAAAATTAAATACTTTTAATAAAAATATGTAAAAAATATATATTAAAGCAGTTAAATCATTTTATAGAAAGTTTTAATGTTTTAAATGTGAGAAGACAACTTTAATAAAACTTTCCTTTATATTTATTCATTAGTTATATATTAATAATTTTAATATTTGAATTGTAATTATTTAGTTATTCATTTTTACTCTAGTAATACATACGGAAAAGCACCAACCTCAAAAAATACTAGCCAACTTTGTTGCAAATTTTCATTGTCGCCTTCCAACCACAAAAATTATCATTAATAATATATATATTTTTTAAAGCGTCTCTTACCACAAAAATGTAAGCATTGGCTGAGGGACCTATAATAGACGGGTTTTCGTCAATTTTAAAAAAAATTTCATCTAAGTCCTTCAAGGTTGTATGTGTGAGGATAACATATATGAGCCTGATTAAAATGAGATAAGGAGTCTAGGGACTAAGTTGTATGAAGCTTCTAATTAAACCTAAAACATATTATTTGTCAGAACTAGAACTAGAAAATTTGAATATTTTATTCATTTAAAAGTTGACTTATTTAAGAAATGTCCTGGTGAAATGGATCTCCTCGTTCAAGGATTCAATATCAGAAAAGAGAAATCTCAAGGGAAAACACATATTGCTTGAAAACTAAGGTAATGCAAAGATGTCTTGATAATATCCAAGTTATTAGCATAATTAATTAGGTGCATATAGTTCTGTGTTACACTTTGATTGTAGTGCCCAAATGCTACAGTCAATAAACATGCAAAACTTACTTTTAGTCTTTTACCTTAATAAATTTATGGTTTAAGTACCATTTTGGTCCCTCAACTTTTCACTTTGGCGCCAAAATTGTCCCTCACCTTTAAAAAGTACCAAAATTACCCTCAAATTTTCATTTTCGGTACCAAAATGGTCCTTCCGTCAGTTAAATGACAGATGACACGTTAACTTGCCAGCAAATCACTAGATTTTTTTAATTTTAATGACGTGTAAATTCCATGTAAGAAAATTTAATATTTTTTATTATTATTTTATAATTTTGCAAAACTAAAAACAAAAAAATAAAAACTTAATTTTCTTTCTTATCCTTTTCTCTCTCTTATCGGCTTTTCTTCCTCTCCAAAACAAACACACACAGATTTGCCCATTGATGGATTAAGTGGAGATTGCTTTAGTTTTTTCGTGAGCCTCCATGCTTTCTTCCACTCATTAGTTTTAGCTGCTGTTGTTGCTGCTTCTTCATCAAAACAAACCCAGATCTGGGTTTTTCAAAACCAAATCTGGGTTTGTCTCAAGCCCCAATTTGGGTTTGAGACAAACCCAGATCGGGGCTTGAGACTGCATTTCTCCATCCACCTCCGTTTCTTTCCTCACTCGCCATTTCTCCTTTGAATCGACGGATACTATTGTGAAGAAGAGCTTGAAGCCTGGCGTCATGGCCCCCGCACGACTCTGCAACAGCAATGGCTGGTTTGCGCTGTCGCAGGCTCGCTATAGGCTTGGCCGCGTCGAGATCGGTTCTGTCAACTCCGACTTCGGCAGCTCCTGCTCCGGCAGTAACATGCGTCGGGATCTAACTGGTTTCTGGGATCTACCTGGTTTCTGGGATCTACCTGGTTTCTGCGATCTACCTGGTTTCTACGATCTACCTGGTTTCTGGGATCTACCTGGCTCTGTGGTTTACAATCTCTTGGGCTTTCGCCTCTAACGAGCTAGCCACTGATGCGAGCTTCATTTTTGTTCTAGTTTTTTGAACTCTTGTGGTTTATGTTCTATTTTTTCAAACTCATGGTTTTTGTTCTGTTTTTTCAAACTCTGGTGGTTGATTTTTGGTTCTGATGTTGCTATTTTTTTTTGTCTTGATGGAACTAGAACTAGAATTTGTTGTTCTCTTTAAACCAGTGCTCGCTGGTTTCTGTGTTGATTTCGCCGGCATTTAGGTTTTGGTTTGCTGCATATTGAGTCTCCGGTGATTCGATACTGTTTCTTTTTGATTTATTTGCATCCATGTGAGTTGACTTGGTTTGATGAAATTCGAATATGTATCTGAGGTTTTTTTTAGACTGTGATTTAATTTCTCTTTGTTGCGTTTCAATGGTGTCAGAGGAGTCATTTGGGTTTGAGAAAAACTCATATCTGGGTTTGATTTGGAGAGGAAGAGGAAGGGACAAGAGAGAGAGAAAGTGAAAGAGGAAGAAGAGATGACATGGAAGTTTTATTGTTAGATTGTGATTTAGTTTCTCTTTTGTTGCGTTTTAGTGGTATCGAAGGAGTTATCTGAGTTTAAGAAAAACCCAGATCTGGGTTTGATTTAGAGAGGAAGAAGAAGCGATAAGAGAGAGAAAGTGAAAAAGGAAGAAGAGATGACATGGATGAAAAAAAAAATCATTATTTTTAAATAAAATAAAATAAAATGCCAACTCATAAAAAAAGGTGCCATGTCATTAGTTAAGAAAAAAATCCAGTGATTTGCTGGCAAGTTAACGTGACATCTATCATTTAACTGACTGAAGGACCATTTTGGTACCGAAAATGAAAGTCTGAGGATAATTTTGGTACTTTTTAAAGGTAAGGGACAATTTTGGTGCCAAAGTGAAAAGTTGAGGGACCAAAATGGTACTTAAACCTAAATTTATAAGTTTTACCCCTCACATTATACTATAATACTTTTAAACTTTTACCTTAATAAATTTATAAGTTTTAGCCTCTCACCTTATAATATGACACTTTTAGCCCCTCACATATATAAATTGAAGAAAATAATCCTCACTTAACATTAGGTTATAACATCTAGTTAGTTGACTGTTAATTCTGTTAGCTGACTGTTAGCATTAATTAGTATTCCATTATAGAAAACATGAAACTTAAATTTAATTTTATTTGTTAATTCCGTTAACGAAACGCCAACAGTCAGTTAATAAAACTAATATAACATTATAACCTGACCTTAAGTAAGGGTTATTTTTTTTGATTCGTATAGGTGAAGAGTTAAAACCTACAAACTTATTAAGGTAAATGGTTAAAAGTGTTATAGTACAAGGTGAGGGGCTAAAACCTATAAACTTATTAAGGTAAAGGGCTTAAAGTAGGTTTTAGCCCAATAAACAAGTCTCTTAAGGAAATGTAAGGTCTCCAAGAAGTCTTGAATTCCTCATTATTCTTGTTAGCTTTATGCCATTTTGAGCCATACTTCCTTTCAAGAAAAATTGCAAAATTTACATTAGGTTGGTCAATTGAGAGCAAAGCCACAACTATGAAACCCAAAATTGTGACGTCTCTTTTTCATATCTATATGATATTTACACATATGCCCTGGGACTTACATACATGTACGAAGAGGGTTTCAAGCAAAAACATTAAATCATATAACTTGTTTCCATATGATTATAACATGAGCAAACTTTAGAGATCATCTCTATAATTTAAAATTCAAAATATAGTTTTTACAAGAAGTACTAAATAATGATGAGTCATTAAAGTATTTATTACATATCAAGATCAAAGGTTTTGGTAATACATAGATTTGCTACTATCTATCTAAACATTATCCACCAAGTCTTAAGAGAAATGAAGCGATAGCTCCACCACAAAGATAAACTCCAAGGACGAAGAGCTAAGTATATGAGGAGGAAAAATACTAAAACAAAATGTTTTGGTGAGTTATAAACTTAGTAAGTATAATGCATTATAAAATGTTTTACAACTAAGGTATACAAATAAGTAAAAAATAGAATAACTACACTTATGTATATGTGTACACATCATCTCATTTAATCAAATCATAACTTAATGTTTATAGCACGAGTTTACAAATCACTAAGCACGTATAACCTAAACTATTTCCACCAAGTAAACCACAAAGTATATAACTATACGTATAATCATAGTCATGGAGTAATTGGAGTGAGCTAGCCAATACACTTCCATCATCCTATCTCTCTTAGATAGGGTACATCATTCATTAGAATGTGCCATCCTATTGTGCAAAGAGCACCTTGAGGTAAAATATTTGCAAAGATCCACAAAGAATCCTATTATATTTGAAATGGGCCATTTTCCCAAAATTAGGGCTAAGTCTCTGTAACATAATATACCACAAAGTATACAACAATAATATTCACATTTTGAATTTAAGTTCAACTTCAATATGTTATGTTTCTTTTTCACAAAGTAGCTATCGCAAAGCTTAGGGACATAATCATGTTAAAATCAAGAGTCTAATAAATACATAAAACAAATATCTTAACCAATGACAATAACCACTTAGTATAACCATATTCACCAAGTATCTTCATTGTACTGTTAAATCAATGTTATGCCATATAAACTTTAGCATTTAAACGTAACCTAAAGTCATCAAGATTCATAGGTTGTGAAATTTACTTAGAAAACATCTTTTAAAGAATTTTTTTAAATTGATTAACCTTATTTTAGAACCTTACACAAGTATTATAAATATAGAAGGTAAAATAAACTCAGGACCATACTTAATTAAGTGAATGAACAGTACTCATGAATAGTAAAAATTTACACATTTAGTTAAACTAAATTCAAACTCCATTAAGCACCAAGATTACAAGTATGTATTTCCATCTTGAGTTGTCATCATCAATTTTAACTCTATAAAACATATTAACATGAGCATTATAACAATTTATATCTCACTAATCTTCAACATGTCATCAAACTCATTTTTAAGTTCCAACAATCCCATTAAAAAGGTTTATGGTATTTAAATCAACATTGGCATTAAAATCAATGTTTTAGGAAAATTAAGAAAATTTTCAATTTAGGTAGAAAAAAAAGGAAGAAATGGAGAATTGAGAGAAAGGGAAAATTCCATTTCTTCCAATTCGATCTTAGGCATCTTACTAAGTGTCCACATATTTGCATTCTAAGCATTTAACAGCAATTAAGGGCAAATATGAAATTAAGAAAATTATGGTGCATTACAAAAATGCATCATTAAATCTTTTAAATGGAGTGATGGCTGTGATACCCCAAAAATTTCTAGGATAAATAAGTGAGTTAGGGACTTGTTTGAGAAAGAAATATTGTTTTGGGCTTAATAGCCAAAATGTCCAAACTTGGGGGACTTAAAGAGGGAAAATTTGGATAAGGATGAGCTTATTTTCTTTTTCTTTTTTTTCTTTCTTTCTTTTCTTCCTCCTCAGACCCGCTTCTGCTTCTTCTTCCCGCTGCAGCCACCCGAAGAAAAAAAAGGGAACCCAGCCATGCTTTGAGAAACCGGTGAGATAGGCTTGATTTTATCCTTCTTTTCTTGTCTTAAAACCAGAATTGAACCTAGAAAATCTTCCCCCTGCAGGAAGCTTCCGGATCTACTCTGCTCTTCCCTCTGCTGTCCGTCGGCTGCTCTTGTTTGTGGGGGCGAATTGCTTCGATTTTTGGTAAGAAATATCCATGAATCTGCCTTCTCTAGCTTTGAATTGCCTTGGGGTTACTTTAATTCCCTTTTTTTTCTCCAATTTTGGGTAAACGTGAGTCCCTGCAGAATTTTCCTTCCATGCCGCCGGCTCTTCCCCAAATTGCAGCTCCAGCCTTGCTTGCTGGATTCTGGTATGTGGCAGCCTGTAATTGCACCAAACCAGAAGTCCTTCTTCAGTCCGCGCTTCCACTTCAAGATGACCTGCAAAGCCCTGAGGTGGAACTCGGGGTAGACACTCCAATGCTTAAGTCAGCAATAATCGGGGTACCTTTAGGGCGGAGATAAAGAGAGCTTAGGGATGGTTTCAATTACCTTTCTGAGGTGGCCCCTGGGGGTATTTATAGGCCTTTGTGAGGTATCCACGTGGCTTGCTTAGCAGGACAATCAGAGCCTGACGTGTTTATCCAGACGATTATTTCGGAACCGAGAATTTGAGAGGTATTTAGATGCACAGATGTCCACCATACTTATTGTGCCACTCGTCATAAGGAATCAGGTGCGGGCATGCTTATTGTCATTGTCATGCAGCTATTTGAGCAAGGAGCTTTGGATTCATTTCTCACTTCGGTCATAAAGGAATTACTGTAGTAGTCCGAGGCTTGGCACCTCGGACCTGTCCTTACACTGCCTTAAACCATTGTTTTTAAGCTTGATTAAGGTAGAATTAGCTTGATTAATTGGCTGCCCCTGTGATGTCCGAATTTGGTTGAAATTAGGGGATAATTCCGGTAGCTTTAGGATAAAGTTTAAGCATTGATTCAAGTGGAATTTGTGTGATTGAGTGTTAATTGATTGTTGTGATTTTTGGAGAGAAAATCCCGTGAAATTAGCTAGTGTTTTGGCCAATTTTGGAAGTTGGAGTTACTGTTCACGTCTGTTCATGGCACTGTTCACAGATTGCTGTTCACAGATTGCTGTTCACACACCGAGGGTCAACAATTAGCGGGGATTTAAATGATTAGTTTGTGATATAAGAATGAATTTGGAGATATCTGATAATGTTGAGATTGATAGAAATAACATTGTGATTAGGGATAGTCGTAATGAAGTTTCACTTTGAATTTGTGATAGTATAGAATTAATTCTTGGATATTTTGATTAGGTTCCAGATCGTTCTGTCAGTTAGCACTGAGATCGTGTTTTCGGTTTTATGCGAGTGAGGTAAGTAAATTTACGGTAATGCCCGTATAGTTTTTTAAAAGCATGTTTTGAGTTGTTTTTGAAGTGGTGGCGGAACTAAACCCGTTTTACATAAGTATGATCGATTGAAATGAAATTTTTATGCTTTTCATTAAATTGAGCATGCCTACTTGAAACTTAATTGATTGTCCTAATGATTTGAAAGTGATTAGTGAATTATGAATTTTCTATTAACTTCTGCCTGTTTTGTCTCCGATATGGTCATGTTATCCTGTTGCCCGCTAGTGGGAGGTTTATAAACGCTAGCACATGTCGACATGTTACTCATATTTTCCAACAGTGTGCGTTGGAAAATATTTTTGCTTACGACTATTTGCAACCTGTCATGACTCCCAACTCCCATTGCCTATTTTCAAAAAGCTGAAAAAAAAAAAAAAAAAAAAAAAAAAAAAACTATCCCAAGCCCAATAAACACCCCAGCCCAACAAAACACCTCTAGGCCTATGAAGCCTCCCTTTCCTTCCTCATCTCCATTTTGACTTTCCCAGTTTTAGCTATCTCTGTCGTGCCCCAAGCTAGCACTTTGTTTTTGGGTCAATTCTTGTTGTTTGGTCACCGAAAAAGGTATGTTCGGCAAGGTTCCAACCTATTTGTAAGTTTTTCTCCCATTTTTTTTTTAAAAATTTTGCAAACTTTTTTTTAGCTTAGCAGCCCCAATCGGCACTTTTGTTTTGCCTCCTCGTCGATTAAATTATTCCTAGCATAAATAAGATCAAAGCTTGCTCTTTACTTTGATTTTCAAGTAATCTTATTCAATTCTCTAGTATTTTTAGATTTTCTGTTTTCTGGGTTTGATTATAAGATGGAATTTGGTTTTTTTGGCCAAGCAAATAGATTTTGTTGGTTTAATTTGTTAGTTCTGTGAATTTAATTTGTTTGTAACTTTTTGCATTATCTTTGTGAGTTTGGGATTTGTTTGTTGGGTTAGATCTTAAGATGGGTTGTGTGTTTTTTGACCATACATATTGGATTTATGGTTTTTGTTAGTTTTGTCAATTTTGTCTATGATTTTTGGCTTCATTTATATAAATTTTTTTTTTTCACTGAAGCTACCTATAACTTTTATTTTGATGGATAGTGTTATGGTATTGATGAAAAAGTGTTCTTAAAAGTTATTGAATTCGTACCATATGGTACACAGATTAGTAAGGAGGAATAAAGAAATAAATAATTTTAGAGATTTATTAATAAAAAAAAAAAGGCAATACAAACTAAAGAAATGTAAAAGCAAAGACAAGGTTTTCCTCATCTTAGATGTGCTTGTGTTTTATGTGTAATATGCATTTTTTTCTTGTATTTTTACTTTTCGTAAAGGAAATATACTGGAATTAAACTAGATAAGTTATAAATTATCTACATTGCCATTTATTTTAAAGATTATAATGTGTCATCTTTATGTAATTTATCTACTATTAAAGTTCAAAATTTATGCAACAGAACTATTGCATGTCCATCTTTTTTTTTTTTTCATCGTTGTCATTTCTTATTTTGATGGTTAATTGGATTTGCATTAATTGGTGAAAATTAGAAGTTAATTTTCAATCTATTCATTAAAACTCTTATCCAAGTTTAAATAACTAATGCATTCTACCTTGCTTAGTGTTTCAAGTTAATGATGAAAAAAAGTTGTCATTTTGTTGTTCTTAATCCAAATTTTCATGCACTCTTATGATCCAAATCTATAATACCAATAAAATGTTTTCTCTTATACCCTAATCTATTGGCCATGTTCCTATATTAGAGATGAGATTATCATTTTGTTCTTGATAGCTATAAAATTGGAAGATATTATTAATCTAATAATTTAATTACATTATTAATTCTTTTTATTTAATTTTGCATGAAATTTGATTTTCACAAATGAAAGTTGTTGAATAACAAATTGTTATTTAATCATTAAAGTACAAATAATAAGTTTTTTTAAAAATACTAATAGTTGATTAAGCTAAATTTGTCAATTAATAAGTTATTTACTAAATAATGACTTGTATTTTACAAGTAACATGTTTTAATTTAAAAGAAAGTAATATTCAATAATATAATTTCTCCTTTATGGTAAATGGTTAATACTTAGTAAATGGGGGATTACTAAAGTCTAGAAATGTTGTTTGCAATTTTATAAAGGGAACATTAGATATGTCTGATGATCGAAGTTGGATGTATTGTCGACGACATGTACATCCAACATGGTTGGTATACATCTTTATGCTAATGGTTTCATTAATGGGTACTTGTTTGGAATTACCATGGGGAATCTAGTGCAAAATGAAGACGTTGTGATATGGGTTAATCATCATCCTCTACATGTGATGATCCATATAGAGAAATGGTCATTGATGCAATGGGTTCACAATGGCACGAAAGTGTGGATATTTGTGGTGAAGTGGAAACAAGCGGTGCAAAACAAGTATTTGAGCAACCAAGTGGAGAGGCAAAGGAGTTTTTTTATCTCTTGCAAGCTGCTGCAATACCACTTTTTGATGGATGGGATAAGGGTACTACGATGTTAAGTTGGGTAACTTAGATGCTCAATGCAAAGACGCTTTATAACATGAGCGTGGCTAGTTGGGACTAGATGTTAAAGGGTGCATTGATGGGGTTTAAGAAAGAGGATCAGGACAGATTGCCAAAAGACTATTATAGTGTAAAGAAAATGTTGAGGAGGCTTGGCCTTGGTTATAAGGAGTATGATGTTTGTGTCAATAATTGTGTGCCTAATCATGGTGAATTACAAAGCAATAAAAACAGTGTGCCCAATTTGTCATGAGCCACGTTACAAGCAAAGGAAGCAACCATCTAATAAGCCACAAACCTAGACTCCAAAGACTCTTCATGTCTAAAAAAACTACAAAACACATGACATGGCATGTTAGGTGCCGTGATGAGAATGAAAAAATTATTCATCCTGCTGAGGGAATGGTGTGGCAACACTTTGTTCGTACCTATCCAGATTTTGCTTTTGAGCTTAGGAATGTGAGGCTTGGCTTATGCACAGATGGATTCTCTCCTTTTGGACAATCTGCATCACCATATTCACGTTGGCTAATTTTTCTTATTGTTTACAACCTCCCTCCATCTATGTGTACGAAACCAAAGTACATATTCTTGAGTTTGATTATTTCTAGCCCTCAAAGTCCAAGAAAGAACATTGATGTGATGTTGCGGCCACTCATTGATGAGCTTAAGCAACTATGGGCACCTAGTGTTAGAACTATGACAGCTTCAGCCATCAAAACTTTAACAAGAAGGCAGCTTTTATGTGGACAATCAGTGACTGTCATGGGTATGGTATGTTGTCAGGATGGAACACTCATGGGAAGTTGTCAAGATGAAACACTCATGGGAAGTTGTCATGTCCATATTGTATGGAAAACACCAAGGCTTTCTACCTTAACAATGGAAGGTAAATATCATTCTTTGATTATCATCAGCAATTCTTACCTACCAATCATCCATTTAGATCAAACAAGAATGACTTCTTAAAGAATCGTGTCGAAAAACTTGGCCACCTGCCTAGCTTGTTTGGTGAACAAGTTTGGGGGCAAATATGTTATTTTCCAGACATTCAATTTGGAAAGTCAGATAAGAAGAAAAACATTCCTAGTTTTAGGGACTATTATAATTGGGTGAAAAAAAGCGTCTTTTGGGTGCTCCCATATTGGAAAACAAACTTAATTCGACACAACTTAGATGTTATGCATTGTGGGAAGAATGTTTTGGATAACATCCTTAATACAGTCATGGATAACCCGAGTAAAATGAAAGACAATGTTAAGGTAAGAATGGACATAAAAGAAGTTTGCAAAAGGAAGGAATTATGGATAATCGAAGAGGATACGAAGCTAAAAGCCACTTATGTTCTTAGTAAGGATCAGAGAAAGTCAATATGTGAGTGGTTGAAGGACTTAAAATTGCCTGACGGCTATGCCTCAAACATTTCACGTTGTGTGAACATGCAAGAAGCTCGATTACAAGGGTTAAAGAGTCATGATTGTCATTATTCATGTAGAGGCTCTTGCCACTTGCATTTCATGATTTATTGCCCAATACAATATGGGAGCCACTTGTTGAAGTTAGTGACTTTTTTCAGGCTTTGTGTGAGTTAGTGATTCGAGTCAAATATATGAAGGTTTAGGAGGAAAAAATTGTGGAAACTATATGCAAACTTGAAAGGATATGCCCACCTACATTTTTCAATTTGATGGAGCACTTAGCAGTGCATTTGCCATATGAAGCAAAAGTGAGAGGACCAATTCAATTTCCTTGGATGTATCCACATGAGCAATAATTGTAACCACTTCTATACTTAATTCATCACATTTCATCCTTTGCACAAATAATTGTACATAACATCTAACAAAATCTTTGATTTAACTCTCAAATAGACAGATGCATGATTTGAAGTTAACCGTGGGGAATAAAACACGAGTGAAAGGGTCTATATGTAAGAATTGCATTATGTCTGAGATCACACAATTTTGCTCACATTACTTTAATGGAGAGGTGGACACTTGAGCTAGCCATTTATCAAGGAATGAGGTTAATAGAGGGAATGATACAGATGTTGATGGATTATCAATCTTCAATTCCCTTGGTGAACCAATTGGAGGCCAACTCCTTTATTGATACTTAACCCAAGAGGAGTACAAGGCTACTACACTTTATGTTTTAATGAATTGTGAAGAGATTAGGGAATGGGTTGAGTAAGTAACAATATCCATTTGAAAATCATCTTGCTAACACTTATAGATTGGCCCTAATTACCTTCTATTGTAGGTTATTTGAGGCACAAGACTGTCATAACATGACACCCTAACAAATCTAAGAAAACCGTTTAGAATATTTAGTTTCATGGTTTAAGAAATCAGTAAGACTCCCTCCAAATCTTTGAATAATGTTTCCAAATTTCAAAGTGTTTACTTATACCAACAATTATATATTTTTTTATGTAGGTTTGAAGTGGCAAATTTGAAGTAAATGATCACTTGATTGGGTTGGCCATAGGACCTATTGGTCAAGTGTCATGCTACAAAGGCTACATTGTGAATGGTTATCGATTCCACACTACCGAGTATAGATATAAAAAAAAAAAGATGATGAATAGTGGTGTGCATCACCGATGGTGGATTGGATTACTATGGATGTTGGAAGAAGTGATAGAGCTTGAGTACTTAGGTTCAAAGCACAAACAAAAGGTTGTTCTATTTAAGTGTGATTAGTATGATATCACTCCAGGTCGAGGAGTTGTGGTTGACCAAAATCACCATCTACTGGACATTAACCCAAAGTCCAAATTGAGAACATATGAACCTTTCATCCTTACTAGTCAAGCTCAACAAGTGTATTACACTCAGTACCCATCAATGAATTCTCGAAGAAAGGGATGGTGGGTAGTGATTAAGACCAAGGTAAGGAGGTACATTGAGATGCCATTAGAGCTTTTAATAGAACAAGATGAAGATGAGGCTTATTTCCAGGACAATGACCCACCCATACCTCAACCCACCAATGTTGATGTCATCACATTTGAACTCATTGTGCATACTAATGGGACTCGTGTAGAGATTGTTGAAGAAGATCAAAACAATGATGTTGAGGAGAATGATAGTGATGATGAAGAGGTTGAGTTTGACTCCTACAAGACATCTGAAGAAGAAAACAATAATTATATATTATAGAATGAAAGTGACTAAATGACATGATGTATATTTCTGTAAACTAATAAATTAACAATATTATTTTTTATGTTGTAGTTAATTATGTATTTGTTTTGACATATTGCCTTCCTAGTTACTTTTAGTTACGTAGAAAAATGATTTTATCATAAGTGCATTATGACACTTTTAATAAGTCTATAGCATTATTAACACAAATATATGTTCATAATTAAATCCTTAACCAATCAAATTACCAAAAACTTTATTTTATTTATCATGATTTTAGTTTTTCAGTTGTTGCCTTAGTTTTGAAAAATTTAGAAACCATAAAATAAAATTAAATAGTTTAATAAATTAATTAAGTTTGGAGTTTTGGGTATTTATTCTAAAATTTTATATCCAATAAGTTGATAATTATTATTTTTATTTTTTATTTTTAATTATTAATTTTGATTGTTTAAATTTAAAACATCAAAACCAAAAACCACAAATATATTAAACAAAGCTGTAGTTTAGAAGCAAATCCAAATAATTTGGATAGTTTAACCTTGTTGCGGCAACCTTTTCCCACAAATATAGGGATTGGAGGACATATCTCCTAAAATGTTTCACCAAGTATCAAATGTCCGTGATTCTAAAATGTATTTTTCTGATAAAAGATGAACCACCACACAAATGTCTTGGATGCAAAATATGTTGACCCTGTTCTATAGCAACAAATGTTTCTGTCACGCCCCAAAACCAAGAGCGAAACAGACGCCATGCACTCGTGAACGGGTCTCATAAATGCACAAGGCTCGGAACCTACTGTGTTCATAATTACCAAAAATTTACTAGTCAAGATGTACAAAAGTTTATAAGACAGTCATGGCTATAACTAAGGGAAACTCAGTATACAAAAAAAAAAATGATTTATCATTTCACATCTATGTCAAGCATGTGTGGCTAACGGCCTAAGTCCAAAATACTAACTAGCCTTCTAGCTCGTCACTCCCCCTGGTTAACCATGCCTCAAGTCTCACTTCTTGAAATGGTGGACAAGGAAAACTATGAGATAAGATATCTCAGTAAGTAAAAATATAGATAGCCTGTGAGTAAAATTTAAGCATGCCTGATAAACAATTTAACATAACAAAACGTTCAATGATAAACCGTTAATGCAGAATAAGATTCAGTAGTAGTCTCATCTATAAGTCATGGGCAGTGTTTAACAAACTCTCATTGGCAAACGTCAGTAATAACCAATGTATTATCATATTGGCAGGATTACAAAATGAACTGATCCTATTGGTATACATGTCGACATGTGCTAGTGTTTGCAAACTCCCACTATCGGGCGTCAGTAATCATGACTATATTAGAGACAAAACCATGTAGGATTTACAGAAAAAAAATTCGTAGTACACAATCAATCTCAAATTTCAAGAATAAACCGGAAAAATTCCATGTGGGCATGCTTAATCCCAAAAAATAATAAAAATTTTCATTTCCATTCTAATCATGCTCAGGTGTTAATAAACTCAATTTAAACCTTGCCACCATCTCAAAAACAATTTAAAATATGCTTTTATTTTGAAATCGAAGGGCGTTACCATAATTTACTTACCTCAATCGCACACAAAAAACTCACTCCGAGTGCTAGGGTGACAGAACAATCAATAACCTAACCAAAATATTCTAGAATTAATAACCATATGACTGGACATCTCGATTTTATTCTCAATATAAACTAAACATTTAAACCTTCTTATTGTTGCCAGCCATTAATACCATAAAGAAATCTTATTTATTTATTTATCATTATTTTTCTTCTATCCGAAATTTGAGCACAAAAATCAGATTGTGCATTTATATATATGTATATAAACACACGTATACAAAATTCTCCAAATTCATGGACATGTAGGAACCGGCTTTGGCAAAACAATAGCTAATTCATGAGATTTTTCTTTATAACCTCACAGTAGCCAATTAATACCCAATCACATAAATTTTACATGAATTAAGCTTAAATTTTGTTCTAATTGCTATCGAAATTTATCCCCTATTTCAGCAGAAATTCGAACAGCGCAGGGTGGCAATTAATGGATAAATTCAGCAACTAATGGGTAATTTTGACTTAGAGGGAGTTGTCGCATACCAAAAAATTCAACAAGCAATGGTCGGAGCTAGCGGGTTGGGGAAGCCGACGGAAATTGAAGGAGAATTTAGGGGATCTACCAAAAATTGGGAAAAACCAAAAGAAATTAGAGTAAACCCAAGCCAAATCAAGGGAGAAAAAAGGAATTAGTAACTGTTTCCTTACCAGAAACCTGAAAAATTCACACCCACACAGCTAAGAGCAGTAGATAGAGGGGGAAGGAACAAAGCAGATCTGAAATTTTTCTGTAGGGGGAAGATTTCTAAGCTCTAAATCTTGTTCTTGAACAAGAAAAGAAGGGAAAAATTCAAGCTTTTACCGTTTCTCAAGAGGGTGGGTGTTGTTGGTGGCTTAGGGCTTCTTGTTCGGCTGCAGGGGAGAAGAAGAAGAGCAGAAATGCACGGCTAAGGAAGAAAGAAAGAAAAAAAGAAAAAAAAATCAACTGATCCTTATCCTAATTCTTTTCTCTTTTAAGTTCCTCAAATTTGAAAATTTTATAATTAAGCTCAACAATATTATTTTCTCACAATTAGGTCCCTAGCTCACACTTAATTGTTCTAGAAATTTTTGGGCTATTACATCCACCCATCCTAAAAAGGAGTTTAGTCCCTTAAACTCATACCTCAATCTTGGAAGAGGTGCGGATGTTCTTGCCTCATCTTGGATTCCAACTCCTAAGTAGCTTTTTCAATTGAATGGTTATCCCAAAAGACCTTAACAAAATGAATAGTCCTTCTCCGCATTACCCTCTTCTTGAAATCTAAAATACAGATCGGGTGCTCGTCATAAGTGAGATCTTCTCGAAGCTGAATGGGTTCAGGATCAATGATGTGGCTCGGGTCGAGAATATACTTTCAAAGTAAAGACACATGGAACACATCATAAACGCCCGCTAAATTTCCAAGCAACTCCAATCAGTAAGCTACCTCGCCAACCCTTTCCAAGATAGGATATGATCCAATATACCTTGAACTCAATTTTCCCCGGGTGCCAAACTTGAGGACACCTCGAGTGGGTGACACCTTCAAAAATACATGGTCACCGACTTCAAACTCAAGGTCTTGTCTCCTTTTATCCGCATAGCTTTTCTGCTTGCTCTGTGCAGCACAAAGGCGTTCGTTGATCAATTACACAATCTCAGAAGACTATTGCACCAATTCTGGGCCCATAATGCTTCTCTCACCTACCTCTGCATAGCAAACAGGTGATCTACACCTTCGACCATACAAAGCCTCAAACGGTGCCATACAGGTGCCGGATTGGTAACTATTATTATAGGTAAATTTAGCCATGGATAAGTGCTGATCCCATGAACCCTTCCAATCTAGAACGCAAGCCCTCAACATGTCCTCAAGTATATGAATAGTTTTCTCAAATTGTCCATCAGTTTGAGGATGGAAGGCCGTGTTGAAATTTAATTAAGTACCAAGTGCCTACTACAAGCTTATCTAGAAATAAGATAAGAATCTTGCATCTCTATCTGACACAATAGACACAGGGACTCTATGCAGCCTGACTATCTCATTCATCAACATATTGGCAAGCTTCTCAATGGATGCGCCAGTCTGGTAAGGTAAGAAATGTGCTAACTTGGTCAATCGAACAACGATGACCCAGATGGAATCATTTCCCTTTAAGGTTCGTAGTAAACTCGTCACAAAGTCTATGGTGATATTCTCCCACTTCCATTGGGGAATAGGCAACGGCTGCAGCTTCCTAGAAAGTCTTTGGTGTTTAGCCTTGACTTTCTAGCAAGTCAGGCATTGTGAGACAAATCTAGCTATCTCCCTCTTTATATTCCGCCACCAAAATGTACTACACAAGTCAAGATACATCTTGGTGCTACTTGGGTGAACTATGTAACTAGTATTATGGGCATCTCCCATAATCTCATGCCTTAAAGCATGATCTCTAGTCTTTACTTTTTCCTTCAATCTTTGCAAGAAAGGATCTTTTTGTTGGGCAACTTTAATTCTATCAATTAATGCCAGTTGTGCACTAAGAGTAGTTAGATAAGTTGTAGTACTATCCACTCTCAACTCCACATCCAGTTTCACAAGATTCTCAAGTAACTCCTTCTAGGTGGCAAGGATGCTAGAGGCAGTGCCAGAGGACTTCCTACTCAACGCATCTGCTACTTTATTGGCTTTGCCTGGATGGTAGCTAATGGTCAAGTCATAATCTTTCAAAAGTTCTAGCCATCGCCTCTGTCTCATGTTAAGCTCCTTTTGAGTGAAAATATACTTGAGACTCTTGTGATCGGTGAAAATTTCACAAGTCTCACCATATAGATAATGCCTCCAAATCTTGAGTGCAAATATCACAGCTACCAACTCTAGATCATGGGTTGGGTAATTTTCTTCATAAGGCTTTAACTGCTGTGAAGCATATGCAATAATCTTATCTTTCTGCTTCAAGACACATCCCAAACCCTTTTTAGAGGCATCACTATATATAGTGAATCCTTCCTCATTGATGGGAAGTGCGAGTATAGGAACAGTGACCAGTTTCTTTTTAAGGGTCAAAAAGCTCTTCTCACACTCTAGAGTCAACTCAAATTTGGTGTCCTTCCTGATCAAACGGGTCATTGGCAAAGCAATTCTAGAGAGATCACCCACAAATCGACGGTAATAACCAGCCAATCCCAGAAAACTACAGACTTCTACAACACTATTCGGCCTTTTCCAATCTACCACGGCCTCAATCTCTTGGGGGTCAACGGAGATTCCATCCTTAGTCACAACGTGACCTAGGAATGCAACATTATCTAGCCAAAATTCACACTTCTTAAATTTAGTAAACAGCTTTTCACTTCTCAATATCTCGAGAATTGTCCTTAAGTGCTTTTCATGAAAAGCATGGCTAAAAGAGTAAATCAAAATGTCGTCAATAAAGATAACCACAAACTTATCTAGGTACTTGTTAAATACTCGATTCATCAAATCCATAAATATTGCAGGGGCATTTGTTAAGCCAAAAGGCATAAACAGGAATTCATAGTGACCATAGTGGATACGGAAGGCAGTCTTTGGCACATCATTAGGTTTAATCTTCAACTGATGGTAGCTAGATCAGAGATCAATCTTAGAAAACACTTGGGCACTCTTAAGTTGATAAAACAAGTAATCAATTCTAGGAAGTGGATATCGGTTCTTCAGAGTCACCTTATTTAGTTCTTGGTAATCTATGCACAGTCTCATGCTCTCATCTTTCTTTTTAACAAACAACATTGGAGCTCCCCAAGGTGACACACTAGGTCGTGTAAACCCTTTCTCAAGGAGTTCCTCCAGCTGGACCTTTAACTCCTTCAACTCCACAAGAGCCATATAGTACAAGGCTTTGGAAATAGGCCTAGTGCCAGGAACAAGATCAATAGCAAATTCAATCTCCCTATCTGGAGGTAAACTTGGGAGATTCTCCGAAAATACATCCTAAAACTCACACACCACAAGGATGTCTTCTAGTCTCAATGTCACTATTGGCATCAGTGACAGAAACTAAAAAATCCTGGCAACCATTTATAAGATATTTCTGAGCCTACAAGGCCGATATCAACATGGGTGGAGCAAAGGAACCACTGCCTTGGAAACTAAATTTTGGCTCCCTAGGAATATTAAAAATCACCCATTTACAGTTGTAATTTATAGAGGCAAAGTATTTTGATAGCCAATTCATCCCCAAAATGATGTCAAAATCAGAGATATCTAAAACAAACAGGCTAGCACTTAATTGTCTACCATCAACATAAATATCTACAGTCCTACACACATCTCTAGTAGTCATCACCCCTCCTAAAGAGGTGTCCATATGCTGTTCAAAATCAGAGGTATCAATAGGTAAGGCTCGTTTCAAAGCATAAGATCGAGCTATAAAAGAGTGTGATGCACCTGAATCAAATAAAACATGTGCATAATCAGAATTGACAAGTAGAGTACTCGTGATTACATCGGTAGCCGCAGCTTCCTTATGAGTCATCACGTGCACTTTCGCCTGCTGAGCTCTTGTCCTAACCCCGACATTCTATTTTTGTGCCCCTTGATTAGTAGAACCCTGCTGAGATGTAGATTGAGTACTCTGAGCTCTGGGGTTCGATTGCGGGCAATTAGCAACTCGATGTCCCTGCTTACCACATCTAACGCAAGCCCCAGTAGTAATGTGACACTGGTCACGAATGTGCCCAACTTTTCCACAAGTGTGGCAAATAGGTGGAGCAGGATGAGTACACTGGCTGCTGATGCCTGACCCACAGTCTTGGCAACCCTTAGCTTTTTAGAACCCTTGCTAGTATCAAACTTAGGCAGTACAGAGATAAAGGGTTTACGGCTCCCATCAAACTTTCTCTTCCCAAGGGATGACCCAACTTTTTGCGGATCTGGTGTCTTGACTCTAGCCATAGCCTTCTCCTAATCTATGGCTCTGTCCGCCACCCCTCTATAAGTGGCGGGTTTGAATTGATTCACCGGCAGATAAATGTTAAGATTCAAGCCCCATAAAAATCTATCAGCTTTGCCTTGCTCATCCCCGACTTGACTACCCACAAAAGGCAGATAGCAGTCAAACTTCTTGTACTGCTCAACAGTACGTGACCCTTGCTTAAGATCTACAAATTCCCTTTGCAGCTCACACCTTTTGCTATCGGGTATGTATTCTTGCATGAACATCTTTTTAAAACCATCCCAGGTGCTCAATTCAGGCTCTCCTTGGTGTAGCTTCAAGTAACTCTCCCACCAAGTCAATGCTTCACCCGTAAGCATATAACTGCCCACATCGACCTTAAGGTCATCAGAAATCTTCAGTAGGTGAAATCCCCTCTCCACCTCGGTAATCCATGACCCCACCTGCTTAAAACCCCCGGTACCATCAAATTTCTTGGTCACCACCTTCTGGAATTCTGTATAGACCTTCCAGCTAGGCACAACAAGAGCATAAGATATAAGAGCAGGAGAAATAGGAACAGGGGCCGTAGGAGTGGAAACCACTAGGGATGGAGGTGGCACACTCGTGGCAGAAGATGCTTAGCGTCTCATCTCCACCATAAATTCCTGAACAAAAGTGGCCATTTGAGGGTTACTCGTCCTTCTCTCTTGAGGAGCAACTTTGATAGAGGGGCTAATAGTTGGGATTGGAGGAGTGCCCTAATCCTTATGGCCACCCCTCGAGCGCCCATGTCGCTTTGGAGCCATCTATAACCAAATAGAAGATTCATAAACTATTAATCAAGTGCCCTAAATTAGAGTTTCCCAACAAGTTTCCACTTCTAGGACCAAAACCTAATAATTAAAATCCAACACATTAAACAAAGAATCAAACAAGTGCCCTTAATCAACCCCACTCTCATGCCTCACCATGTTCCTATAATTCATTGGCTAGCCAAGTTTGAAACAAATCCTAGGTATTTAATTTAAACCTAGGCTCTGATACCATAAAAATCTGTCATGCCCCAAAACCAAGAGCGAAACAGACGCCGTGCACTCATAAACGAGTCCCACAAATGCACAAGGCTTGGAATCTATTGTGTTCATAATTACCAAAAATTTACTAGTAAAAGATGTACAAAAGTTTATAAGACAGTCATGGCTATAACCAAGCGAAACTCAGTATACAAAAAAAAAAAATGATTTATCATTTCACATTTATGTCAAGCATGTGTGGCTAATGGCCAAAGTCCAAATTACTAACTAGCCTTCTAGCTCGTCACTCCCCCTAATTAACCGTGGTTCGAGTCTCACTTCCTGAAATGGTAGACAAGGAAAACTATGAGATAAGATATCTCAGTAAATAAAAATATGGATAGTCCGTGAGTAAAATTTAAGTATACCTAATAAATTATTTAACATAACAAAATGTTTAATGATAAACCATTAATGCAGAATAAGATTCAGCAGTAGTCCCATCTATAAGTCATGGTCAGTGTTTAACAAACTCCCACCGGTAGGCGTCAGTAATAACCAATGTATTATTCCATTGGTAGGATTACAAAATGAACTGGTCCTATCGGTGTACATGTTGACATGTGCTAGCGTTTGCAAACTCCCACTAGCGGGCGCTAGTAATCATGACTATATTAGAGACAAAACCATGTAGGATTTATAGAAAAAAATCCGTAGTTCACAATCAATCTCAAATTTCAAGAATAAACCGAAAAAATTCCATGTGGGCATGCTCAACCCCAAAAAATAATAAAAATTTTCATTTCCATTCTAGTCATGCTCAGGTGTTAATAAATTCAATTTAAACCTTGCCACCATCTCAAAAACAATTTAAAATATGCTTTTACTTTGAAATCGAAGGGCGTTACCATAATTTACTTACCTCAATCGCATAACGCAAAAAACTCAACTCCAAGTGCTAGGGTGACAAAATAATCAAGAACCTAACCAAAATATTCCAGAATTAATAATCATATAACCGAACATCTCAATTTTGTTCTCAATATAAACTAAACATTTAAACCTTCCTATTGTTGCTGGCCATTAATCCCATAAAGAAATCTTATTTATTTATTTATTTATTTATCCTTATTTTTCTTCTATCCGAAATTTGAGCACAAAAATCAGATTGTGCATTTATATATATGTACATAAACAAATGTATACAAAATTCTCCAAATTCAGAGACAACATTAAGGAATCAGCTTTGGCAAAACAATAGCTAATTCACGGGATTTTTCTCTAGAACCTCACAGCAACCAATTAATACCCAATCACATAAATTCTACATGAATTAAGCTTAAATTTTGTTCCAATTGCTACTGGAATTCATCCCCTATTTTAGCAGAAATTCAGATAGCGCAGGGGCGGCAATTAATGGATAAATTCAGCAACTAATGGGTAATTTTGGACTTAGAGGGAGCTGTCACATACCAGAAAATTTAGCAAGCAAAGGTCGGAGATGGCAGGTTGGGGAAGCCAACGGAAATTGAAGGAGAATTTAGGGGATCTACCAGAAATTGGGAGAAACCAAAAGAAATTAGAGTAAACCCAAGCCAAATCAAGGGAGAAAAGAGGAATTAGTGGTTGTTTCCTTACCAGAAACTTGAAAAATTCACACCCACACAGCCAAGAGCAGCGGATGGAGGGGGAAGGAACAAAGCAGATCTAAAATTTTTCTACAGGGGGAAGATTTCTAAGTTATAAATCTTGTTCTTGAACAAGAAAAGAAGGGAAAAAAAATCAAGTTTTTACCATTTCTCAAGAGGGTGGGTGTTGTTGGTGGCTTGGGGCTTCTTATTCGGTTGCAGGGGAGAAGAAGAAGAGTAGAAACGCATGGTTGAGGAAGAAAGAAAAAAAAAAAGGAAAAAAAAATCAGCCGATCCTTATCCTAATTCTTTGCTTTTTTAAGTCCCTCGAATTTGAAAATTTTATGATTAAGCTCAACAATATTATTTTCTCACAATTAGGTTTAGGTCCCTAGCTCACACTTAATTGTTCTAGAAAATTTTTGGGGTATTACAGTTTCTCATCACTTTTTTGTTTCCAACTAAGCAAAAACATATTGTAAAATCAAGTTGTTACCCGAGCCTCCAACTCATTGGAGGTTTCTTTAACAAATGGATGTTCAAGAAATGCAGGCCATGTCAGTCGATTTTGAGGATCCTATTTCCCATGATATTAAAACCAAATCACAATTCCAAGAAAAAACAAAAGCTAAATCTAATAATTTAAATGAATAATACTTCCTAACAAGAGAACAACCTTATTGAGCAATCCTTTCAGAAAACTCTTGAAACTTTGACTCATATCATCTGGGTATTTGACTGGATCCTGATTCACCAAATACCTTCAAATTAGCTTACCTCGGCACAGAAACTATGAGAATTTGAGAAAGACAGATTTTGAGGAAAAAAAATGACATTCGATGGACTTTAACAATATACCGGATGAGTGCATATACTGAATTTGTATAAAATGGAGGGTGCCCAACAAATAATTCATACCTATGCAATTGATAGTTAATCAATTATTTTAGTCAATACAAATTATTGAAAAAGGAGCAGATAGAAGAAAAAATAATAATAACATGAGTAGGGAGACTCTTCCTTTTTGTAGCATAATCCTTGAAATCCATAAAAAAAAAAATAATAATAAGACCTGAAATAGATGATTGAGAAGCATCTCTAAGAGCTATAGACATGGTGTTTGGACAACACTTGCAAGAGAATTGTGCATGCATAGTTCTTGATTAAATAGAAATTGATTTGATTTGTTTGTTGTAATATCTTGAGTTATTTGAGGGGAAAACAAAGGAATTTGAGAGTATGTAAAAGAATGAATCTTTTTGTATCTTTGTTGTTTCAAGTGGTACCTAATCACAATCAAAACAACTCAAATTAATATCCAAAATTCAAAATGCATAATAGTCTTGGAGATGAAAATATTACTTGAATTTTTTATAGAATGAATATTATGTTTGGATTAAGAAAAC